TACATGCTACTCAACCGTTAATGTTATATAATCTGAGGGATTTATTCTGACCACATTTACAAAATAATGGCGTCTGATGGGCAAACCCTGGCCCGCGGGCCGTATGCGGGCCGGTGGGCATTTTAATTGGCCCGCCGAAATTGTCCAAAATTTAGACAATTAAAAAAAAAAATTTTTTTGTGTATTTTTCAGGGGTGCTGAGGTAAAATTTAGGGGTGCTTAAGCGCCCCCCAAAAAGAGGTTAAAATCGCCACTGGTTCAAATTATATTTAAAAAACTGAATTTAATAGGGAAAAAAAAACCGGTGTTGTTTTACCTGTAGTTCCAGCATTTCCCCAGTAGAGGCGCACTACAGACACTGGTGTGCATTATGGCCCGGCCCTTCGCTCCAATTTTAGAACTCAATGTGGCCCACGAGTCCGAAAGTTTGCCCACCCCTCTTTAGACTGATATTCCTGCAGGGATGGATCCCAGGCTGCAGCTACAGCTAGATGCTGCTGCTGTTTGTCAAATTCACCACAACCACAATTTTTTTTGTAAATTTAAAAACAACTAGCGATGCACGATATTATCGACGTGGTATCGGTATCAGCTGATATCAACGTTAAATTTAAATATCGGACATCGGCCATTTCATTAAAATAACTCGCTGATATAAAAGGCGCTGTTTTTGCCTTCAGCGGCTGCACAACGCGATGACGTCACGTGCGCCATAACCGAATTCAAAATGTCGGCGGTGTGGAAGTTTTATTTTTCGTTGGTGAGGATGTCGGATTTCGAAGATTTACGGAGTACGTTTTACTGCATCGTCCGCAGTCGGATATATTTTTCCGAAGTAACGTTACTTGAGTTATAAGCCGTCATTTCCGTCGTCGTTGAGAAGCTAACAGCCGATAGCACGACTTGTTGGGTGAGTTTTACCACAGACATTTGGACGTTGTGTTAGCCCCGTTAGCATGATTAGTCTTACGGCACAATGGATAGACGTAAACTTTGAACTTAAAAAGTCTGTCCTTCATGCACAGGAGTGCAGAGGATCCACACTGCAGCTATAGGAACCTGGAACAAACCTCCACAAGTGAGACAGCATTACAGGCGACTAATGCTAATAAATAACATTTAACTCTTTTCATTTAATATAAGTTAAAGTGCTATGGATATGACTGTTACTGAATATATGTCACCAGCTCTTACAGCTGTTGTGCAATTTTTGTAGCAAATAAGCCTAAATAAGAGGACTATGTTCTGACAAAGGAACATATATAAAATATCGGTATCGGCATCGGTTATCAGCCGAATAAGTTTCAACATATCGGCCAAAAATCCAATATCGTGCATCCCTAAAAACAACCTAAAACTGATCATGTGGCGTTGTTTCAGGTGGGGTCTTGTTCTCGCTCGGTCCAGGTCAGCCCGGTCTGATTTTGGGCTCTGTCACAAGCCAGTCACTTTTTTAGCTGCCTCTAGCCGTTCTGGACCGGCACAGACCCTTTAATGTCGAGAGTTACGGTGCCGCTGCAACATCGTTTGGAGGCTTAAGGTAAGTTCTTAATGGGCTGCGATTAGTTGGCAAACAGGAAGTCTCCAAAAACATTTCCCAACATTCATGGGGGCTCACAACGTCTTAGCCTGAGCTGCAGAGAGGCTCAGTCTTACTGACTGAATTTTGATCATGTTCAAAAGAAATTGTGCATCGAACTTTCTCTTAAAATAGTCACGTAGTCACCGTGGGCGTCTCAAACACCTTGCTTTTGTCTCAGGTGTCTCCGACCTGCCTAACGAGCATGAGCTGTTTTTTAACACCTGCATGGGAGCTGTTCTCTGACAGAAAACACGTTTAGGTCTAAAACCAACTCCAATGACGATAAATATACTGTATAAATAAAAATATACTGGTCCAAACTAGTTTACTGTTATTTCAGAAGTGCGCTCCAGTAGATTGAATCATGAACAAAAGAGCGTGGCTGCCCAGGTGGGTTCAAGGTGGACTGAGGTGGGTATAATGTTGGCAGCGATGGACAAGAACTGTTTAATAAGCCGTGCACACAAACATAGCTTTGGTTGTGTACAGTCAATGTGAACTGGGGGTTATCAGTCTGATCCCTTACACCTGTCCACGAGTGTCCCTCAGGGGTCCATATTAGGCCCAACACTTTTTAAGATTCACATAAATACCATTGATCATGCTGCTGCTGGTGGTTCTAGCATGTGCTTGTATGCTGATGATACCATTTTATACATCAAATCCATCTCCAAAGGCTGCTTTGTGATCAGTGTAACTACAGTCAATCCACTAGTCCAGTCCATAACCCAATGCTGTCCCTCAGAGGTCCACATGGTCACATTTTACGTACAGGAAATATTATAATGAATGTTTATATTTAGAACTTGTGCGCGTGTAATCTCTATGTTGTTTAATGTGACAAAAGTGTATATATTGTACGTGAGGGTTGTTTGTATCTAACCCCCTGTTGCTGCCTCTTGGCCACTTTCTTGTTGTAACTAGTTCTCAAACAACTAACCAGTGTAAACAAACAAACGTTTGCCACGGTTTTCACAAATTGGATGCTCAAAAAACGGCCGCACAGCTCACTGGTCCCAGTCACCAACTGTCAGAAACCAGTGAGGATGCAGCTAAAAGTTGAATCTGTTTTGTTACAGAACAGCGAGATGATTAAGTAGCAGGCCAGTCTCTAACAGTTTCACAGAAAGACGAGGCGTGACTCAACTCATCCTTCACAAACCAGTGCAGGCAGGAGGTGTCTCCAGCAGCTCTGTTCCTCCAAACAGGTCGACCAGAACGTGAAAAATAAAAACACAGACTGAGAGAAGAACCCTTCAGTCGGTGCTGACGGCGTTTGTGTTTAAATTACTCACAAACGTTGGATTTACTATGTTGGCTTAGTTTGTACAGAGTTCTGCTTTAAGTCAGTCAACATGTTCTTCAGGGAACTTGCCCCAAAGACTTTTCATGTACCGTATTTTTCGGATTATAAGTCGCACCGGATTAAGCAAAACCAAACAGTCAAATAAGTCAAACTTTATTCAACTCGTTCACAATAACCACATAAAATCGGTTTGAGGTCAGTAAGCACAATCAGAATTCATGCATAAGGCTCACTGTCGATTTTGAGAACATTAAAGGATTTTAAGTGCGCCTTATAGTCTGAAAAATACGGTATATAAAATAATATCGACACAAAAAGGTGCGTTTTGAAAAAACAAAAGTCATAAAGCAGGTCACATCGTTCCTCCACTTCATTCATGAGCATCACGTCTTTTCATAAAAGCGGAGATCTGCCTCCAGTCGTTTCCACTCCGGTTTTATGTTCCATCAAACATCAGCCGGACGGATGCAGCATTTATCCACCTGGACAATTAATTTTACCCACATGTGAGCACATTAATATTCATTACCTGCTTTGACAAACCAACACCCCCGTGTGCTGGAGGCACAATGGTGAGAAATGTGTGGGGTTTTTTTAGGTTACTGGAATGATTAATAGCTAATTATACGTTTTGGTTATTACACATGTTCCTTAAAGGTGTGTTTTAAGTCATTTATAAAAAGTGTTCCCAAAGTCAGAAGGAAGTTTATAACACTTTACGTCCTTTAGCCATTTTTAGATGATCGTTTTATTTACCCAGAGAAAACATTTAGCAAATCCAACATCCTTTCATCGGCATAAACCAACATTTTATTCACAACAGAACGTGGTCAACGCGCTCATTGTTCAAACTGCGAGACTGTACCATGTTTGATAAAAACTATAAGATCATTTTGACGTTTGTGGCAGCAACACATCTCAAAGAAGTCAGAAAAGTGTCGACAAAAGCTGTGAAAGTAAAAGCTACTAATAGAAAACAGCTGGAGGAGCGGTTTGTAACTACTCAGGTTAATCAGAGGTCAGTGAGTGGAACTGGAGAGAGCGTGTTAGAGAGGCTGAATTTCAGAAGTAAAGATGGGCAGGGGTTTTACTACTGCGTCTTAAAATAGTGGAACATTTTCAGAATAATGTTCCTCAACAGAAAACTGGAGAGTCTTTGAATATCCCATCGTCTACAGTTCATAATATAAAACGATTTAGAGAATCTGTAGAAATCTCTGAGTTCAAAGGTCAAGGCTGAAGGTCTATATTAGATAGTGGAGATCTTTGGGCCCTCAGGGGTCCCTGCATTAAAACCAGGTCTGGTTCTGTTCTGGGCTCAGATCATCGTCTGTCAACACAGTTCATCCACAGATGCTGCTTAAAGCTCTATCAGACAAAGAAGAGGCCAGATGTGAACACCATCCAGAACCGCTCTGGACCTCTGGACCAGAGCTCGTTTCAAATGGACCGAGGTGAAGTTCAGAACTGTTCTGTGGTCAGACGGATCCAAATCTGAGATTCTTTTTAGAAAACACAGCCTATAATCAGAGCACAGTTCAAAGGCCTGCCTCTCTGATGGTATAGGGGTGCATTAGTGCTTCTGACATATCCAGCCTACACATCTGGAAAGCCACCATCAACACACAACAGTGTACACGTAGAACCAAAGCTACAACTGACAAGTCCACACGTAGGACTGAGAAGAAACTTCTTGTTTTGAGAGAAGATTCTTCGTTTCGTTTGTTCAGTTTATCACCGTGTGGCCGCAAGGACACAAAAATAATTCAATACGAGAGAAACTTTTTTTTCTAAGAATTAAAACTTGGAAAACCGGCACACCGTCGCCCCCTAGAGGACAGGAGATGAATGCTCTCCGTTGCTTTAACGACGCAGACCTGCTGAAATGATTAAAAGTACCTTTAAAAGCTGAAAAGCAGTTTCTAATCCTCTGCCGTTTCCTCCTGGTTCAACAACCGAATGTGCTTTGATTTAGTCAAAGCAGCCAACACAAAGCTAAAGTGATCAAGTGAAGCGTTGTGAGCACTAAATCTCAGGAGGTTTATTCTTCTGAAGAGCAGCAGCTGTACACATCTGCAGACCGTTTGGTTGTGGTGGGGGTGGGGAACAAACCTTTCCTGTTGGTGCCGTTGGGGACGTGCGAGGTGTTGATGCCCTTGGCCACCTCCTGGATGGCGGTTTCCTTGGTGACCGCTGAGCCTTTGAGCTTACTCTTTGAGCGTTCCCGGGATTTTAGCTTCTTGGCATGTTTGGTGCCCTTGTAGTGGGCCACGGCCTGGTTCTGGGGGGAAACAGACGAAACGAGGCAGATTTTCAAGATGAGGACGTTAAATATGGGCTCAGAGTGAAACATGGAAACGAATAAATAAAACAAACAAAACTTTGACTTTTCAGTAATAAAAAACATTTATTATGAATTATGTTTGTTAGTTTAAGAGAGAAACAAATCAAACTCAACATTACTCAGGAAATGAGTTTTCTTTTTTGTTTTTAGTATTTTGTCAGAGGCGGCGCAGAGCAACGGGTCCTGGCGAGTGGAGGGAGCAGTTTTATCCACCAGGTGCAGAGGTGGAGCCAGGGGGTGGCCAATGGAGACCATGACCCCCCCCCCCAGAATAATCTTTGGTCACCGCACCGGCCATTTGAGTAAATTATATGTTTAAGCAATAAAAAATAGAAAGCATAGTGACTGGTGTGGCTTGCATTTATATAAGGTGGTGGTGGCGGCCATCTTGGATTTTGACGTGGCAACCCAATTATTGACTGTGACATTTGTTATAGCTGGATGTAGCCACACACTGAAATGGAAGTGGGTACCTCACTCATCTTTTATGTTTTTCAATTCACAAGAAGGAGGGATGGAGAGTATTTTTAATTTCCTCTTTGTTTCGCAACGGGAGACGAAAAGGTTCAACGACGGACACAGGACGTACCCAGAATTCCTCAGGGGGGATACATGTTGCCCGCCACATGTTTTAAGCCTAAACTGTGTTGCAAAACTTTTAAACCTTTTGTTCAAATCTCCTACATTTTAAACAAGATGTCGCGTGAGATTACAAAACCTTTACAGGTTGACTCAGCTACTGCCATAAAATCTGTAAAATCAGTTAGTGCTTGAAGTATCTGTTGGGTATGACTCTCAGCTACTACAACACCAGACTTTAGTCCAATATCTGGGACATTAACTAAGTTAAAGCAATTTGTATGTTTACCAAAGTTAACTGGCTGCGGCGGCCATCTTGACAAGAGTTGACTTCAAAACTTTAATCGGTTGTAGATTATTTTGATAGTTTCAACAAAATCTGTCAAATGTTCCATGAGATATTTTGCTAAAAAACAACGAGACATTCACACACTAATCACAGGATGTACCTCTACAACTGATTCACTTTCAGAGTCAATCCAATTCAAGATGGCCGCCACAGCTAATCCGTCTTAGCGAGTGTAACATGGTTACAACTCAGTGAGTTTTACAGATATTGAGCAAACGTTTGATGTGGAAAAGGCAGAGTTTCATCCTCACAACATAATCTGAGCGCTACCTGTTGTGACAGTCAACACAGCCGGTCTGTTAGCAAAATATCTTATGAAGGATGAGTTTCTGACATTTGCAGAAAGTAAGCATTGGACGTACATCTATAACTGACCTTGGTGTCCCAGGATTACAAACCTACATTTTGCTGTGTCTTTCTTTAAAAGAATCAATAATGTGCAATCAGTCATTATTCTAATAACGTGTTTGTAAAGACGTGTTTTCGTGTCTGCAGGAGCGCATGCACTTCATTTCCTGTGACACTGGCGGAGTTTACAGGACGACTTGAGAAGTTGTGTTATTAAAACGAGACGTTTCCCTACATGTTTTGTGGACTCGCACACAGCTTTTTATCTGTAGTTTTCTCTTTATATTTATGGAGTTGTCTCCGACTGTTATTTGCGTTGCTGCACCGTTTTCAGCTGCTCATAAATCTTTACGACCTCGAGTCACGGGGCGACAGTATACATTTACTCTCTCCTGCAGTCCGAGCGGCCGTGAGGACCCAAATTATGGAAATAGTTTCTTTAAGACAGAGTTTAGCAACAGTTTCAGAGGATGTGGAGGTCCATGCAGGTAGAGTTCAGGAGAAGCATCGTGGGAGGAGGCTCTTCCTTTGAGACGTCTCAAACATTCAACATTCTCTCCACCAGATTCAAATAAACTCATCCTGTAAATAAATGTTCCGGCAGCGCGCGAGCAGCACCTGGCTCCTGCTGAGGCTTATTTCTGTTTCCCCTGAAAAGACTGGCATCAAAATCTAATTATTCCTGCGTGGATCGGTGCTGTGGGGGCTGGATCAGAACCGTGGAAGAAAAATATTAAGATCTGGATTCAAGAACAAACGCAGAGCCGAGACGTTGGTGTTCCTGCAGGAATCTATAAATAAATAACCTTTCAGTGAAGGTGGGTTGTTGGAGGGATATTAAGTGACCTATAAAGTCAGGTAGTCATTAAAAGACTAAAAACGTTAAAACATGTAATCATCAGAGTAAGAAAAGTATTCCAGCTCGTGTTACTGACAATATTTTTATTATTATACGCCCGTATCGTTAAAGTCGAACCTCCATCTGTCTGAAAACTTTCTCTCGTAACTTCTGATCCGCTCAAGTTAATTTCATGAAACTTGATGCGTCTTCACTAAACAAAGTGTCCTGTGCACTTTCATCACTACAGCTCCAAGGTCAAAAATCAAGGTCAAATGTTACACAAGGTCTTTGCTTGTCCAGGCCATTGGCATAGATTGCTGTGCAATAGATCGCTGATGGGCGTTCAATGTGTCGTTTTCAGTGTTCAGGTTTAAAACCACTGAAACCTAAAGGTCATTAAAGGAAAAGTAAAGTTGAGGTTTTTAATTTCTTTGTGTGTTCGGTTGTAAAGTTAACTACGTCTGTTAGTGTCGGCACAGTTAGCCTGAAAATAAAAATAATTTTAAACTAAAAGGAGAAGTTTAAGACTGATCTGGTGAAGATAGCTACAGCTTTCAGGTTCTGAGTAACTGAGCTAAGTCTTGGAGGGGTAGTAGCTGAGAGTCATCCTCAACATGTTCTCCTGGTGTTAGCAGATCACACAAGTTTGTGTTGAAATGTTCACCTGAGGCAGCAGGGACAGACGTTCTTTAGATGAAGGAGAGCTTCATGAACGCATGACTTCCTGTGCACCGTTTAAAAAAGTTTTAAGTTGACTTTATTGGATAAACGTTAGAAATGAACAGGAAGTTCTTCTTTAGCATCAAAATGCTCATCTGGTCAAAAATCCATCCAACCTTCTTCTACCATTCTTCTGGGGTTGAGTCGCAGAGGCAACAGGTCCAAGAGGGAAACCTGGACCACCCTCTCACCAGCAAGTCCTGGGAGACCTCAAGGTGTTCCCAGGCAGGAGAGGATATATAGTCCTCCCAGTAAGTTCTGGGTCAGCTCCAGGGTCTTCTCCCAGTGGGGTGTGCCTGGAAAATCTCCAGGGGAGGCCTCGAGAGACATCCTGATCGGATGAACCACCTCAGCTGACTCCTTTTGATGCAGAGGAGCAGCGGCTCTACTCCGAGCTCCTCTGGATTACAGAGCATCTTCAGCTGCTGGTATCTGGTATCCTGTCTGTTTGGTCATGATCCAAACCTCAGGACCACAGGTGAGGGTTGGAACGTAACCGTACCAGTAGCACAGTGGCACAACTGGTAGAGCTGCTGCCTCTCAGCGAGAAGGTTGCTGGTTCAAATCCTGGTCCAGGGGCCTTTCTGGGTGGAGTTTGCATGTTCTCTCCGTGCGTGCGTGGGTTTTCTCCAGGTACTCCAGTTTCCTCCCACAGACCAAAAACATGCATGTTAGACTGATGGTAACTCTAAATTGTCCCTAGGAGAGAGAGAGAGAGTGAATTTTTGTCTCGTTTGTCTCTATGTGTCCCTGTGATGGACTGGAGACCTGTCCAGGGTGTCCCCCGCCCCTCGCACAGTGATTGCTGGACATGGGCACCGGCGACACCCCATGACCCAAAATGGAAGAAGTGGGTAAAAGATAATGGATGGATGTTCACCGCAATTGACCAAAGCAACGCCGTCATTACTGAGGATGAGGATGATCCATCGATTCATTTCCTGCTCCATCACTCAGGAACAAGGCGTACCGATACTTGAACTGCTCCTCCTGGGGCAAAACAATCCTTTTTTCTAGTTGAGAACCACGACCTCAGACTTCACACTTGGCTGTGAACCACCACAGTGCACGTTGTGAACCACCACAGTGCACGTTGTGAACCACCCCAGTGCACGTTGTGAACCACCCCAGTGCATGATGGGGGTCTTGGACCAAAGACGCCAACAGAACCACATCATCTGCATAAAGCAGAGCAAAACCCAAACAGATCCCCTCCTCCGGCCTTCAGATCCTGTTCATGAAGACCAAACGCTCTGATTCAGTTTTATCGTGCGCACACTTTGGGCTGTTTGAAGTGAAACTGCACCACATCGCCTGGTACTCATGAAACTACAGAAACAGTAAATATTAATAGAGTAAAAAGCCCGACTCTTCGTGCAGCTGTTCCAGGTGTGTTCTTTGTGTTTTGACGTCAGAGAGCTGAAAGTAACTCCTCATTACACTTTTTATTAATAAAATGTCTTCTCTGATGGTGAAATCCACAAAAACTCAGAGAGGAATCAAAGACTTGTGCTCTTATAAAACAAACGACCAAAGACACAGAAAGATAAAACATATTTTCTTTAACGAGTTCTGACGGCTGAACTCAATTAGCAGAGTTTAACTGTCTGTGTCGGAGCGACTCATCAACGGAGAAAAGCTCAGATTAATGTGATAAAAGATGTTTTTGTCTTTTGTTGAAAAACTAATTTTATGTTTAAACTCAGGAAACAAAGGAGGCGGCCATTTTCTGAGCTGCTTTGTGCTTTTGTTATAATTCTTTTGCTTTGCTTCAAACATGAACAAATATAAATAAATTAAATAAAATGACAGTTTTATTTACCCAATAATTATTTTTGATATACATGTGAACAAAAACTGTAAAATGAAAGTATATTTTAAAAAATAATAATAAGCAGTTAGAAAATTAGTAAAAATGCCATGAACAAAACGAGATAGAGTATTTATAAAGCAATTTATTTTATTTTCTTGAGATCAGTCTTTATACAAGTGCACCTTCTCATTTTTGTGTCCTCACCACAAATTGTGTTGTTTTATTTTTATTGTTAACCTTAGAGACCTTTTACAAACTGATAAAAGGATCATAAAACAGACTTTTTACATAGAAATTACAGACTAAAGCCGAGTTTATGACCCCGGCTCATAAACAGAACCACATCCAGTAAAACAGAAACATTAAAAACCTTTTCTCTTTACAGCCCCAGGCTGTTCACCACTTTACTGACAGAAGTTCCTGAAGAGCAGAAAACGTCAAATTAAACTCTTGTCTCCGAGTAAATGACATCATCTGACATGGGGGTGTCCAACTGACACACGTTGGTCCATACTGGGACCCAAACTAAGTTTTATTTGGATATAAATGTTTTAAAAAACAAAAAAAACATTAATATTGTACTGGTACATATTTTCCTTACAGTAATTAATTTTGGTGGCACAGCTTTTGTAGTATTTACAGAAATTTGTACTATGCTGCGCAGCTGTTGGCACGTTTGGTCATTCATTTCAGAAGGCACGGTTATTCCAGGAGTTACGGTAATTCCCGTGTCGGACCTACAGTTTTTCTGTTTCTCTGCCAGCTCACAGAGCAGAACAAACCTGCAAATACAATTATGGATTAAAAAATGTGCAAGGCGGTCACTGAAAATTAATTTAAATACATCTTAAATATTCTGGACCTTTGTTAGAGATGTCCTGATGCCTTCTTCAGTCCTCAGTCTGAAGAAGTATTCTGGATGAAAGACGAAACGTTTCAACAAAGAAGAATCCGCGGACCTGACTCAACCTTGATAGATTTATTAGAGATGTTTTTCTTATTTTAGCAGATCTTGTGGAGTTTTGATTGAATATGATCTAATGTTTCTGCAGTTGAACCTAAAAATAATAAATCCTCCCTGTTATTAAAATTGATTGACAGCTGAACACAGGTTGTATTTCCCTCATAAAGCTTTAAAATCAGCAGCTAATGAGCTGTAAATAAATATGAACTGTTCCTGTGTAAATATTCTCATCCTGAGTAATCACGGACTCACTCAGCATCCGAAACAGATCGATTCGATTTTGATGAACGGTGCCGTGACACGACTCGTCAGGGACGTTTCTGACTGAGCAGCTTCCAGCATCTTTGAGTTCCTCTTTAAAAATACTCTTTACTTTCAGAAAGGTATTGAAATGAAGGGCGGGGGGAACGTGGCACCCATCTGCTTGGTTAGGTGCTCGTCCCACGGTTGGATTCAGCGAGTTAATAGTCGTGCGTGCAGAGATTTGCTGATTAACTCCTGCTGAGATGTTTTGGACACGTGGCAGCAACACGGTGCGACGGACAGAGATGTAAGGACCAGAACGTCTGATAACCAGGAGCTTAATGACCTGAATAAACAACGGAGTGTAAAGAGGATCAACGGTGTGCCCGTCGACTCTGGAAACAACTGAATGAGGTGACCGGCACCGTGCGGTCCAACATCGCTGACCCACCACAGCTGCAGTTTAACCTCCATAGTGTTGCTTTCAGGCTCTCCTCCTTTATTTCCTCCTCTCATCTTCATGTTTTTCGGCTCAGATTTCAACAAATTGTCAAACGAGAAAGCTGCCTCATCGTTATCGCCCATTCTCGCTCAATCGTGTCTTTTTCAGAACCTGTCAAAGGGATAATTCAACCATTGGGACTGAACGGACCAGGACTGGTTCTGATTATTATTCTACAGTCTGATAAAAATGTATTTCACAATCCAAATTCCTTTATTTGTCCTTTGAGTCCTCGGCGCCTGCCTGCGCTTGGTTCAACACGACGCAGTGATCGTAGGAGGTAGAACTGATTGACCCGTGGAGTCCGTCCAACTCGAGATGAAAAAACAAACATTTTAACGAACCTACAGTTGATGTGGTGGAAGTGAAACAAACTCTGAGCCTCGGACGGAGGAGTTCAGGTATCTCATCTTGTTCTTGAGTCGTGGTTGGATGGAGCAGGAGATGCATCAGCAGATCGAGGTCTTCTCCTCAGTAATGAGGGCGTTGCTTCGCTCATTCATGGTGAAGAAAGAGTTGAGTTGAAAGGCGACGCTCTGGATCCGTCTACACCTGTGGACTGAAAGAATGAGATCCTGGACACAAGCAGCCAAAACGAGCGTTCTTCGTAGGAGGACTGGACTCTGAGGGTGAAGAGCTCCGTCGTCTGAGAGGAGCTCGGAGTAGAGCGCTGCTCCTCTGCATCGACGAGTCAGTCGAGATTCATCTGATTAGGACGCCTCCTGGACCCGGTCACAGACCAGCGGTAGAAGAGGGAGATACTCTGAGAATGAGCTTTCGCATCTGATCAAAATATCTACGACTTGGACATTTTGGAGATTATTTTGATCTAAAACTGTTCAATTCAAGGCGGCGGGCGAAATGCATTAAATAAAAAGTTAACGTTTAAAATCCTGAATGTGTTGAAAGACCCGTGAGCTGCAAACATCACGCCTCGCAGTATTCAGAGCTGTTTTTTGGTTTGCAACATTTCTGGATAAGAAGTCAGGATTTCTGGTCAGAAGAGCCGAGCTCCACCCGCTCGGACCCGCAGCTGCAGAGGACGTGGAGTCAAGATGGCCGACAGTCGGCTTTTATTCTTGACCAGTTTTGCACAACCTCGTGGTTCACATGTAAGAAAGCAGCTCTCGGTTTGATGTCATAAAGTTCACAAAGTGCCAACCGGTCAGTTCTTACGCTGATGCACCGTCACCTGCAGGGAACTGAACGCTCGGACTGAATTTAAAGCATTGTCGGCTCCTTTTGCTCTCTCTGGCGAGCGTCTGTCTTTTTGTCACTCTGCATGCGACACTGAGCCGAAGAGGCTGAACTCGTGCTGCTGCTTCAGCCTCGGCAGCGTCTCTGTTCCTGCACGTCGCTCTGACAGGAGCACGTTTTTGGCCTCCTGCTCTGAAGCAACGAGCTGCTCACCTGCGAGCTGAACCTCAGCTGGCACACGCTGCAGGCCGTGCGCCTCCTCTTGGCTGTGGGTGGGAGGCCGAGGGTGTGATGGAGGACGGCTTTCTGCACCGGGTCCATCTGGAGGGAGGCAGGGACACAGAGAGAGAGGCTAATTAAAACGCAGCTAAAGCTGACCTGTTAATCCTCCTCGACTCGGCCGTCGCTCACTGTGGAGAGAAACCGACTGCCGGAGGCTTCCACCAAACCAGGCGTCAATCTTTCACTCCGCTCGATGAACTCGAACCGTTCCCCGGATTAATTCCCTCATTTGCTCACTTTAGTCACATGCTAGTAGACGTTTAAACTGACGGCATTTAAACCCGTTTAGTTTTTCACAACAGATGTCAAAAGAGCAGCTTCTGGCCGTTAGCCGACTCAGCCGGCGGCGTGTCCGCACCGAGACGGAGGTCTGTCTGAAACGTTACAGAAGTCGTGTTCGAGAGGGAGTTCAGCTCTGAGACTAAAATCTATATACCTATAATCTGAGATTAACAAAGAATGTTATTTGTAGTTTCCTGGACTGTAACAACAAAAAGTCACTAAACCTTCAGAGTTTTTATAGATCGTCTTTAAAGAAGATGCAAAAGTAAAAAAATAAAAAAAAGCGACAGCTTTGCTGTAAATTTCTTTTTTTTTTTTCTAAATGTAAGAACGTGGAAACGAGATGAGTTTGTTTACTTGAAAACATCTTCAGCCATGGCAGTTTCTGTGCACGTGTCCGAGCTGCTGGGTTCTGGTGTAAACGTCGTCGGACGTTCCGCCTCCAAACGTGTCAACACGATAATCTGGACGGAGCTGCTCGTTTGGAGGATTTCTATGGCTCGTTCCAGAACCAGAGGAGGAGCTGGATCAATCAGCTGATGTGTCGACGCTGCTGCACTTCATAAAAACAAATGTTTTTCATCTGAAAACTGTAAAATTTCTGATTTTTGGACTTGTTTGAACCGTTTTGTTCACGTCAGTTTGCAGCTGCTGGTTTTTATGGATTATTAAACGATGCCTTGCTCTTCTTATTTCACGTCCTCATTTAGTTGTTTTGTTTCTGTAAATGCTCCTTTTTGCTCTTCCTGCTCACTCCCCTCGTTAATGAGCCCACCTGCTCTTCGTTAGTTAATTACTCCATCAAAGATCAGGTTCTCAGCTGGTCCTTGTCTTCCTCCTGGTTTTTGTTGTTAACCCTCCTGTTGGTATTTGTTTGTTGTTGTTGTTGTTGTTGTTGTTGTTGACCCCGTCTCTGCAGGCTTTTTTTTGTTTTTGTCTAAAGAACATAATTGCATGGTCTGTCCAGTCCGAAGCTTCTCATCATTTAACTGCAGTAGATGGACAGATGGATATTTTATTCATCCCTAAAGAAGAAAGTCCAGCAGTTTCCACAAACACAAGATAAAGATGAATAATGTACATAAGTTGGAAACGACAACAACTTAAAACTTAAAGACTCCTGAGCAGCAGGTCTGAATGATAAATCTCTGTTAATGCTAACGTCTGCTCCTTCTGTTCAGTAAACTGATGCTCATTTAGTTCTTTCTTCATCAGATTGGACTAATTTCATTTTGTGATCAAATAAGGAAGAAATGCCTTCTTCGTATAATCTGACGTTGCCTCACTGATGTTTGATGTGAAAGTCGGACGTTTTAAAAAATGTGTTTTTTTGCTTTAGTGGAGAATTCTCTCACATTTTGTTAAGTGGAACCAGAGGTTTTAAACATTTTCACAGCTCTGCGCTCAGCTGTTAAAAACAAACCGTATTTTACTCTCGTTCACCACGCGTCTGTTTATCTGCCCGTTAGCAAAATATCTCATGAACCATAAGGACGCTAACTGAATTAATCACCGGATGAACGTCTACAAAGGATTAACCTCTGGACTCAACCTGATTCAAGACAACAAAAAATGGCTACAGCTCGAGTCATTCTCGCAGATATTTAACTGAAAATGGGCGTGGTGGTAGCTGAGAGTCATCCCCAACCATACCCTGAGAGCTAATGGACTTTTTCAAGGGTCTCAACATGACCAAGCAAAGGTCGACTCGCTGCAAGTTCAGAGTTGGTCCATTGGGTGATCCCGCCTGCGTTCAGCTTGGTTCCTAGGACCCACTCGGACCCGGTTCCAGACGAATGTCCGCTGAAGATCTGACGTCAGCAGACTGCTGGACACTGATTGGTCAGAGCGCAACGTCAATCATGAGAGTCTCAAACCCACCCTTTTAAAACACTGCAGCCGCATCATTCGTTTATTTGCTTTAAATATAATGTATCCACAAAAATGGCAGCACATAAACCAACACTGTGGTGAGGAGGTGCAGATGTTTCTGTGTTTGTTGGCTGATGACAGAATTCAGATGGAGTTAGACCAGAGGGACTTGATTTACCAGCACCGACCGGCAGGAGGAAGACGGTCTTGACTCGACATTTCACCAGCTCACAGACTGTGCAACAAGCTCCACATCCTTTATGACCACCTGTTTGAAAGGAGGTTGAAGTGGCACTCCAAGAGTTCTTCTAATGACCAGCAATGCTACTGCCACCTATAAGAGCTTATCTTTAATACTGCTAACAGAACCACACTGATGACAGGAGCATGCTGCTAACAGGACCTCACTGCTAACAGGACCACACTGCTAAAAGGACCACACTGCTAACAGGACCTCACTGCTAACAGAACCACACTGATGACAGGAGCATGCTGCTAACAGGACCACACTGCTAACAGGACCTCACTGATGACAGGACCACACTGCTAACAGGACCACACTGATGACAGGAGCATGCTGCTAACAGGACCTCACTGATGACAGGACCACACTGCTAACAGGACCACACTGCTAACAGAACCTCACTGCTAACAGGACCACACTGCTAACAGGACCACACTGCTAACAGAACCTCACTGCTAACAGAACCTCACTGATGACAGGACCACACTGCTAACAGGACCACACTGCTAACAGGACCACACTGCTAACAGAACCACACTGATGACAGGAGCATGCTGCTAACAG